CCTTCAAGCCCCAGTGGGGACCGCAGCCATGCACCGGTCACACACTCGTGTCTCTGCAGGTAACAGAAGGACAACAGCAAGGCCAGTGAGGCTTACTCTAAACCATGCCCTGGAGTCATCACAGAAGGTCTCTGACAGCCTCAAACCTAACTTCAAGATTTTCCTGTGTGGATAATCCACAGGGAAAAGCACCTGAAAAGAGAAAACCACTCCTCTTACAGCAATCCAAAGGGAGGAGATCCCACATTTACCTAAGAAGCCTACACAGGCACCGCAGAGCCACAGGGCAGGCTCCACCCCAGGGCATGCCACTTGCCCCTCCTGCCAGGCCAGTGATGGAAGCGCTTGCCTCCCCTGGCCCAGCCTGCTCCTCCTGTGGCCCGGGCGAGTCCCTGCTGCTGTCCCACAGCCTGACCCAGGGTCACTTTCCCGGCTGTACATGAGAGGGAGGTTTCTGAAAGGCTCTCATTTATTTGCTTTCTACTCCCCTACAGTCTCATCAATATTCATCTTTTGAGGCTATGGCGAAGCCAGAGGTCACAGATTAAAACAAAAAACAAACAAACAAAAAAACTAACTCCATACAGTAACTACAATGTGATAAGCAGCCAAAAAAAAAATCTTAGCTAAGTTGATTTTATGATAGAAATGAAAAGTACTGCTTTTTTATATTATTAACAACTTCCCCTGTGACTGCCTCTTCCCCCAGGCCCCGCCTCAACACAGCAGCCAGCTCTGACCCATGGTCCAGTCACCTCCCAAACACATGAGGCACTGGGGCCAGTTCTGATCTGAACCATAACATTCCACCTCTGGCCTGCAAAGGACTTGAGAGCAACTCTTTATGCAAATTGCATTCCATCCACTTTAAGAGTCACCAAAGTGTTACAATTCCAGCAGTGCTGAAAAGTCTAAGGACCAAGTCTCGTGAGACTCAAGGCCACTCTTAGCTGTGAGCCCCTGTAAAAAGTAAAAAAGAAAATTACGTGCTTCCAACATACAATGGCATGGGGTAAACATTCCCATGCCAAAATGGAGGAATAAAGGAACAGAAACCAATGGGACCAAAGCAAGGCTGAAACCCAGCAGGGCAAACCAAGAAACGATATAGAAGATAAAGGATTAAATCCTATAGCTCTGTGTCTAGCACCTGAGGCAAACATATAAACTCCAAATGCCTTTTGAGGCCCCACCCTTATGGCCCTACCAGTTGGAACCCTCATGGCTTCTTCCTTGGGACAGGTCTACTCACTGCCTGTGACTTACCTCAGATGTGTCACATTCTTGGTGACTCCCAAGTTCCTGGGGTCTCCACTGCACTTTCAGCCACACTCTCAACGGCTACACACACTGGTCTCTGAGGGTACACTCCCTAGCCTCCTAGGTCTTCTTCTGAAATCTGGGTGGAAGCCTCCATGACACCACAACTCATACATTCTGCATTCCCATAAAATCAGCACCTGATGCCAAGGTCTGCTGTCAGCTTAAGGAGTAGTTGGGCCCCCTTGAATCATGGCTACACTGGCCTCCAAAGTGCCTCCACAGCTATGAACCAAATCCTGGGGAATCAATTCCCTATGCAGTCCTTCTAGAGCAGAGTGCCCTGGGGGCTCCCTTCTCAAAGCAAAGTCATTCGCTTTTGAACCTCCGAGCCTAGGTAAGTGTAGGGTCTTGTTGGTTTCCAGGATGACTTCAAGGCATTGTCCTGATGTCAAGTTATTGGCTTCTTTTAAATCTTTCTAGCAACCCCACTCTCCAAGGCACTACCTTTGTAGATATTTCCTTTCTGGCCAAACTGAAAACTTTTCAAATGAGCTTCTTGCTCCTGACTTTCTGTATAAAACCGACTAAAAGCTGCCAGAAGGGTCCATGCTACAGCCCAAATGCTGGGCTGCCTTGAAATTTCCTCTGTCAGATTAGTCTACTACCCTTAATTTCAATCTCATCTTAGGACATGAGCAAACTGCAGACAAGTTTTGGGCCAAAGCATACACACAAGGCCTCTTAGCCCAACTGTCAATGGAGTACTTATATCCCACTGAAACCACCTGAGCCTGGTACTGATAGTCTATATTTCTAACAGCATTCTGATCTTCTGAGCTTTGATCAGAATTTCTCCCATCAAGTTTGGCTTATAGCATTCGAGGACTGCTTCTCCAGCCTGCATCTCCAAACCTTTCCAAACCCCTCCTACGCTAGACACCAAAATGTTTTAGAGTTCACTAGAGCAACACAGTCAATATAAAATATATGATTAATTATACAGCAGACTTACTTGGTAGGTTACAGGATTAGCAGGGGAGGAGTTGTAAGAGCTGCCCTCAGATTCAGAGGCAGAAAAGTCCAAACTGGCCATCTGCACCTGGAGAGCTAGAGAATCCAGTACAGTAAAAGGCTGAAGACCTGGAAGGTCAGTGTAGTCAGCGATGTCGAGTATGTGCTAGAAAGCCAACAGTCCACAGTGGAAGACTTAAGAGTCTGCACTGGAGACTGACACCCAGAGTCAACGGTGAGGACCGCAGCTCCTCCACCCAAAGGGCGGGCTTCCTTCTTCTTCCCCTTTTTATGCCATCCAGGCTATGAACCAACTATGCCCCCACATCTGAGGTGGGTGGATCCTTCCTTCCCTCAGTTTGGGCATGTCAATCACCCATGGACACACCCAGAGCTTACTGATCTGCCAGGAAGTCCATACTCAAGGCAAGCTGAGAGATCACAATTAATGATCACACCCACAGAATGGCTACAATCAAGAAAAACTAAGATGGTGAGGATGGGGAAAAACTGAAATCTTGCATGTTGCTGATGGGACTGTATAGTGGCACCTATGGAAAACAGAACGGTAGTTCCTCAAAAATTAAGCATACAATCATAATCTGATCCAGAAATACCATCCCTGGGTATATGTAGACAGCCTTTCTCAAAGTCGCACTGGTACAAAAGCCAGACATTCACAGGAACCATACTTGAAGACTACCAATCTCTTCCCAGGCTAGCAATGTGCAATGCAACATTCTCATGATGCCCAGCTGCAGCCCAGAGTAGCTGTATGAGTGTGTTTAGCAGGCTAGGCCAAGCTGTGATGGTGACAGGGTAGGGCCACTACATACACTTTGGACTCAGGATGTGAAAACTTAGCAAGTCTGTCCAGGCATCACCCTTTGTAAGTCAGGGAGTCTATCCTGAACAGATGTAAAAGCAGAACCTGGAGGCCGCCTGGGAGTCCACGGGTGGGCAAACAACATGGCACCTACATGAGATCATCACCGAGCCCCACCAAAGGAGGACATCCGGACACAGGCTGCCACCTGGACGGCCCTGAGCAGTCGTGCTCAGTGAAGTAAGGCTGTCAAAAATACAAAAATGGTAATTTCCCTTACATGGGTTACTCAGTCCGTGGATTCATGGGATTAGGGCCTGGGGAGGGGAACAGGGAGTCAGTGTTTCCTGGCCTGGAGCTTCAGACTAGGAAAATGAGAATGACCTGAAAGAGTGGTGGTGATGGTTACCCAACAAAGTGGGTGGACTTAATGCTACAGAATAAACATTTCAGAATGTTCAAAGTGGGGAGGTTACCTTATAAATGTTTTATCATGATTACAAAGAGAACAGGTATGTGCTGTTCCTAAAAGTCCAACACCAAAGCACTCAGAGCTGCTTGCTGCCGTGGTGAATTACTTACCTTCTGAGACCAGTACACAGAAGATACTTTTGATTCAAAATGGTCATAATTATATCTATAAACCTTTTGTTCTCACTGCCTTAAAAAATACAAAGCAGCATTACCATCCAGGGAGCACCCACACTGTAGGCACTGAGGTGCACGTGGCTCCATCCAGAACACAGCGCAGCAGCCCTGGGGAGGCTCCATCCACACCCCATCTACAGCTGTCTCCGAAGTGCACATCACTTGCCAGGTGGAATCAGCGGCATTTGTCACACACCCGCTTCTGACAGCAGTGGTGCGCGGACGGCTCGGAGCGAAGCTCACCCCACTGCACCCCAGCCCGCTCTCTACTCACCCACAGCCCTTGTTTCTGGAATCTCACTTCCTTTGCATCTCACAAAAGCACCTATACCCAAGCCTACTGCAAAGACAAGAGGCACACACACACCGCCAACAGGCAATCTGCCACAGGCCCCTCCAAGGCAAGAACTGCTCGGCGGCACTCACAGAACTAGCAGTCTTCTCCTCAGTTCACACTGCTGATCCAGCACCGCAGCATGGCCAAGCAACACACACGTCAGCACCACAGACAGTCCTGTGTCCTGGGGAGAGACTGCAGCGAGCACACGAGTCACCAGCCTGACACAACTTTCACAGCGACAGCCAGGTGACAAAGGCCAAACCACAAGCTTCAGAGAGCGCATCCAATTCTGAAAACAAGATAAAGGCCACTACAGTGCATAACCCCTTGCAAAACCGCACTGGCTACCCACAGGCCAGTCCTGAACAGGCAGTAAGCCAGTGTCAGTCACAGAAGCACAGGAAAGAGATGCATTTAAACACGATTACTGGTACCAAAAAGTAGTGGAAATCACCTACCTGCACACGACTGGCAAAAGTACCTGCATTAACGAGACTTAAACACAGCCTACAACTTACAAATTCCACCCCTGGTGCTGGCCCTGAAAAAAGGATAACGTGAAAGTGCAATAATAAAAAGGAAGGCTAGGTGTGGCATTGGCACCAGTGTCCCCAACTACCCAGGAGATTGCGGCACGGGTGCACCTGAGCCCAAGAGTTCAAGAGTTCAAGACCAGCCTAGGGAACATAGCAATCCTGCCTCAGTTAAAACACAGAACAACAACAACAAACTTGACAGGTCTGAGATGTTTCCCTTTCTATCAGCAGAATGTCAGGACAAAGCGCAAAGCCGGTGTGTAAGAGGAGAGCCCTTTACCACACCCCAATAAGGGAAGGGTAAGCGCCAGCCCCATCCCACTCCTGCTCCCCAGAGCAGCAATGGGCAGGGCCCACATGCGGCCCGGCCACTCACCACTTGGCTTGACCTCGCGCACGTAGTTGCTGGGGAACCAGCCGGTCCTGCCGTTGTGCGTACCCTCCCACCAGCCTCCTTCCTCCACACGCGTGACGTGGATGACGTCACCCTTTGAAAAGGACAGCTCATCTTCGTTGGTTTGTTGGAAGCTGAACTTCGCTCTCACGACCAGCTGATTGTTGCTGCTATCGGTCATGTCCTAAGAGACAGGTGGGGAGGGGTGGGAGAGAGTGACATCAGCTCAGCCCACTGCTTGTAAAGCACCAGCTCATGGGCCACCACTGCGTAAAAGCAGCCAAACACTGGCTCCGGCCGGGTTGCTCCAATTCCTGTCTGTCCCCACGCGCCTGCTCACATACACTCAGAGGATCCACATACACGCTCCTCCACCACACGCAAGGCTCTGGACTGTGCCATCATTCAACCCGTCCTCCGTTAGCGATGTTCAGGTCATGTCTAGCATGTTCTATAAGTTAAAGTGCTTTTCTTATCTTGACGAACAAGGCCACATTAAAAATGCTTGCACAGCTGGGGATTTAGCTCAGTGGTTCCGCTGCCTGCCTTGCAAGCACAAGGGCCTGAGTTTGATCCCTGGTGCCAAAAAACAAAACAAAACAAATCCTAAAAATGCTCTCTGAAGTAGAAATAGGCCCTAGAGTTTACGCTCTGGTCGGAGGACACAGACATCACAGTTCAGGTTTTAACACATATTTTTTAAGTCACCTCCAAAAAAGTCTGCAAATTGACACTAAGAAATGCCCACTGCCAGAATCAAGGAGTCCCGTTTTGTCAAGCCTCCGCCAATCCTGGGTGTGGCCGAACCCACTGGCCTTTGTCACAGTGACACCAAGAACCGGCCATTCTCACCTGGAGCTGCACACTCTGGTCTGGGGCAGGAGGAGCCTGCAGGCCACTCGTTCTCTTCCAACCCAACCAGGCCCGTCTCGGTGAGACTGCCCTAGGTCACTGCCACAGAGTGGGAAGGCGCAGCCCAGCAGGGCCTCAGGGAGCCAGGCCCTCGCACCACACCAGTCCCCTACGCCCCAGTCCCTGGCAGTGAGTCTGCCCACCCAGATCGCAGCCCCAAGGTGCCAGTGCTCTGCCCACACCAGCAAATTCAGCAAAGCGGGCAGGGAGTCCTGTTCTCCTGCCACCCTCCTCCCACAGCTGCAGGTCAGACGGCTCTCCTCAGCCCCGCTCCACAGGCAGCCCCACATCGTCCCATCCCAGCAGGACCAGCTGCACTGCCAGGCCATGAGTGCATAACCAGAGGCCAGAGGCCAGAGGCCAGGGGACACACAGGGCTCTGGCTAACAGGGGCAGAGGGCCAGAGGCCAGAGGACCCAGCTGCTCTGACACTGTCTCTGAGGTGTCCGGGACACGATGGAAACGTGCCCATAAGCAGGACAACCACAGCTGGAACAAGGGATTCCAACAACCAAGCAACACAGCACCGAGACGGAGGGAGGCTGATGCAGGAGTCACCAGAGAAAGAGCTTAAGGAGCCAGCCATCTTCAAACAGCAGTGACAAATTCCCTTGAAACAGACAAAAGGAGGAGTAGAAAACCTTGGCGGAACTTATGCTGGTCTTGAACTTACTATGTAGCTCAAACTGACTGCAATCCTCCTGCCTCAGTCTCCAGAATGCTATGATTATAGGTGTGTGCTACCACACCCAGCTAACTTCTTGAGTTCCATTTTGCAGTGCCAGTTACAGGAGGATTGCTGTGGAACTTTAAAAATGAAATTTCTTTCCTTTTAGAGGTAAGCAACTTCTCCAAGCATGGCCTCAGGGCCTCAGTCCAGCTGAAGTGGGTAGAATATACAGTGGCTGCCCGGCCCTGACTCGTTCCTTTCCCACTGGAAAGGGGACAACGAGCTGAAGATGGCTGGGGCCAGTGGGGCCCTGCACTCTCTCTGTACTCCCTCGTCCCCTTTCTCGGTGTGGAAGACCCTTGCCCACCTGCATGTGGCAGGATGGCTGGGCCCCTCTATCTCCTCAGAGCTTACTTTAACAAGTTTACCAAAACTTATGGCCTCCCTAGATTCAGTGAGCAGTGAGCAAACAATCGTGAGCATGTAAGCCTAAGTGGCCAGTAACAGCTGTGATTCTGAGGCCAGCCTGGACTACATGAGTTCAAGATCAGCCTGAACTGCACAGTAAGACCCTGTCTCAAAAAAGAAAAAGAGAGGGATGGGGACGTAGCTCAGTGGTGCCGCCACCTGCCTCGCAAGTGCTAGGTCCCAGGTTCTATCCCCGATAACAAAAGCAAAAAAAAAACGGGCTGAGGATGCTGCTCAGGGGAGCACACACGCTTGTGGAGCATGTGTGAGGTCTCGGCTTCCATCTATACCACAACAAAAAAACAACTGACTGAATCCTGAAGTTCATTTCAAATTTAAGGAAAATGCACTTTGCAGACCTGGTCAGAAATTGACATGGTAATAAAGAATCTACCAACTAAAATCAGCCCAGGAAGTGAAGGATTCACTGCTGAATTTAGGGTGTTGTATTAGCAGTTCTTCTCAAGCTCTTCAAAATGAAAGAGACAGAGTGCTCCCAAATTCACTTACGAAAGCCAGCATCACTGTGATCCCCAAGCTGAAAAAGACCCAACTGAAAAAACTATAGGCCAATCTCCTTAATGGACATAGATGCAAAAATCCTTACAATATTAGCAAATAGGATGCAACACATCATCAGGAAGATCATACGCCATGATCAAAGCAGCTTCATCCCAGAAATAAAAGTGTGGTTCAACATTCGGAAGGCAATAAATGTAGTGCATCACACAAAGAGAACCAAGGTCAAATACCAAATGATCACATCATAGATGCAGAAAAGGCTTTCGAAAAAATTCAACACCCCTTCATGATAAAAACCTGAAGAAAACAGGTACAGAAGGGCCTTACCTGAATATGGTAAAAGCTACATATGACAAACCAAATGCCAGTATCACACAAATGGGGAAAAGTAAAAACATTCCCCCTAAAATGAGGAACAAGACAAGGGTGTCGTTTATTACAGGCAGCTAAATTAGACAGAAATCAATGTACCAGCTCTCAAAGAAGTCAGCAGAAAAACAGAGACATCAGGATCGCAGCTGGAGGTGCACCTGAAGAAGGGCGGGGCTCGAACAGAGATGCACCAGCCAGCCTGCCGGCTGGGAGGAGGGCATCTGCAAGACACGGAAATGAGAAGCCCCTGGCCCAGGGAGTCCAGGCAGGTGTCAGCCGCCCAGGTGGGTGAGCATCTGGACCCTCCCTTCCCAAATGCCTTTTTTCTTTCCAGGCACCCTTGCTATACGACCCGTTTCCCTACTGGATCATTAGCTAAGTGGCTACACTTGTAATCCTATGGATTGATTATAGTTTGACACGTTATACCCGCGCATTGTGACTTTGTTGTATAACTTACTCCCCACAATTGGACTTGGTGTCAACCCACTTCCAGGATCCCTCCTGTCTTTCAGGAACTATTTCTCAATAAATCTTTCCTATTCTTTAAAAAAAATGGAAATCATAATATTACTTAAACTCAACAACAGAGAAAAAACAGACGGGAGAACCCTCCCTAACGGAAGGACCCTGTGGGACAAGGGGTCTCCCGTGGCATCAAAGCTGTGGGCAGTAGAGAGGCGCTGATGATGCCTCAGATTCAGCAAAGACACATATTTAGACTCTGGACCCCAAATGAACCCGGAGGATAAATGTAGACATTCAGCCAGGTGGCATCCTATCTAGTAATTAGGCTCCTGAAAACTGAAGGCAATAAAAATTTCAACATCAGGATAAAGAAAACACCTTGTGGATATGCAGGATCCCAAAATATTTAATTACGGAAAAATGTGCTGCTTCAAAACAGGTGAAACACAGAGAACAAAGAAGGTGTGGAGAAGCAGCATGCAGCTCACACGTCAGAGGGGAAGGGGCGAGCCCAGCAGGAGCACTGTTCAGTGAGCCTGCCCTCCCCGGGGCGTGGGGGCTGGATGAGAAAAGCCCTAATGTGCCCGTGTGCAAGAAGATAGCCTCTGACCAGAGCTGCCATCCGCAAATGGGACACAGAAGCTAAAGAAAAAGATGACTGCGCACCCCAGAGAACACTGTTAGGAAAGGAAAAGTCACGGGGTGAGACAGGGTTCCGCTAGCAATACTGGTGTGGTCCTATGTCCCAAACGCAATAGCGCCTGGCTGACAGGGAGACAGCTTGGGCATCTGCGGGAGCAGCAGTGGCCAGACCCTCTCCACTGCAGCGGCACAAAGCCTACAGGTGCAGTGCTAAGAGGCCCTGAAATGATAACCAACAACCACAGGAGCCACAGGAGTTAGCTTCGGTCCCTCACAGGAGAAAAGTAGACAGCAGGGTCCTCTGCACACCCAGTGCCCAGGCCTGACACACACACGGCCATTCCTGCTTCACTGCAGACTACATTTCAGCCAGGAAACCTCCTCACAGGGCAAAGACACCATCCTGACGGCCCCACTGTGCCAAGGCAGGCGGAGTCCTTGAAGGGGAGGTCACCTCGCTCCAGGCAGCCGGGAAGGACCCCCACAGCAAGAGTGCAAGCCCACATTAGTGCACTCACCATGCTTCCAGCTCGTCCACAGTCAACCTCTCTCATTACGACTTCAGCACTGTCCCTTACCCACCTACATTTAACTTTATCTCACTCGAGGTTAGACACCTGCAGCCCATCCCTCCCAATGCCGCGGTGACGGGTGGGTGTGCTGCTTCTCTTAGCGCTCCCTCACACACTTCACACACACTGGGTCCCGGGTGCTGGGAGTGCTTCTCCTCAGTCTCACACGTTACTGTGTGACCTCTGCTGGCATCAAGTCCTCCAAACGGGGAGGGCGACACCTGGACCCGTAGGGCCTGTGAGGACTGCAGGGCAGAGGCCATGGCGACTCACCGAGCATGGATGGGCAGCAGGGCGGCAGACAAAGCTGTCCTATGCATGCTCAGGCAAGGAGCAACAGGAGTCAGCCTCACTTGAGAACCCGAGGGCAGGGACAACTCTCCCTTCCAAGCCGTTCCTGCTTTTAATGCTGCTCTCAGGGAGTAAACTACTCTCCCCAAGTAATGTTCTGCTTTCACAATGAAGAAACCTCAGCGGACTAGAGCAGAAGGATGGCCATGGGCCCCTGCAGTCTCTCGCAGAAGCAGGCTCTCCTTAGACTCTCGCAGCAAATTACTCTGTCTCCAGGGAGACCCCCATGGGAAGCCAGGCTCCAACAGATGACTGCCAGGCCCGGCCAGCAATGGAGAGGTTACTGCTTGCCAGGGGCAGCAGGAGCTGGGGAGTCTCGGGTGCTGGTGTCCAGTTCTGCATGTGACCCATCCCTGATGTCCCCAGCCTCACTCGCTCTGAGCACTTCCGAGCGGGTTCTCCTTCCAGGACACCCGCCCGCTATCCTCCCTTCCATCCTGAGCAGCCGTGGCGGGGCTCCCCACTGGGCACTGCCTGTTGTCTTAGGAAAGCTGTGAAGGCATGCTTTTAGGGAGAGAAAAAAGCCACTCTCTGAGTCTTCAGCTCTAACCATCTCTTTCTCTGTATAGCTAAGGACTTCTACACACAGATTTCTTACCCTGTTTCTGTATATTTGTACACAGCAGATAAGAAACCAGCATGCCAAAGAGGGGTGTTAAGGATCCCATCTCTCTACATGAGCGCTGTGCCTTCACACACCCAGTAAGCAAGCGCCCTGAAAGCAGTCACTCGCACAGACCCGGAGGCGCCGGGAAAGAGCCAACACCACCACCGGACGCTGTGGGCAGACGCGCCTTCTCCCACACAGCCACTCTGTCCTCACATGCACTTGAGTTCTCCCACTTACCAAACTCCGGTACTGGCCCTGGAATAATCTTGAAGTCCGACTGTGTGAAGACTGGGATCCCAGGGAGTCGAAGGACTTGATGCGGTGCGAGGAGGGTCGGGCGCACACGGAGTCACTTCCCAGGCCTATGTCTGCGGAGAAGGAGCACACAGAGATCCTCGAGGCGCCCACACGCACACCCGCCAGCAGGGCCCTCAAAGCCAGCCACTGACACAGGCACAAAGCAGATTCTGTTTGCCCCGTGAACACCTGGCATCCATTCCCCAACCACCTCTCCAGAAGTCATCTGGAGACGACTACTTATCAGTTCTTCTCTAGTGTCACTTTTCAAGAGTTTGTGGAACGCTTTGAGACCGTTTTTAATACTTCTCTTCACCTCGAAAAACAAGCCTGTCTTCCAGCTACAGAGCAGAGAACGGCACCACACGTCTGCTCCTCTAAGACCAGGTGCGTGCCCTTGCCCGCCTTCCAAGCAGAATTGTGAGTGTTTTCCCCACATCGGGCAGGCCCAGGCTCGGCTCCACGCCCCAGACTCCCGCCAACCACTAAGCAAGGTCCAGCAGCCCACTGCTTATTTGTGATTCCACTCAGAGAAGGAAAGGTCAGGCCAGGAGTCCTTTCCTGAGGAAGCCACGGCTGGAGAGCATGTGGCACAGCGGGCTTCCATAAGGCTGACGGTCTCCGGGCCCCCTTCCGGCACACCTGTTTTCACTGTCCTGTGTGGTGGCTATAAAACTCAACATTAGCTGTTGAATTCTGAAGTCTGAAGACATCACAGGAAAACTCAGAGTCATAGCAGCTCTTGGCACACTCTGTGTGGCAACACGAGGTCCTCATCCCCGCAGGGGGCTCCCAGGGCAGGCAGTAGAGGAGCTCGGGTGTCCCTTCCACTCCTGCCTACATACTGCTGCCAGTGAGTCCCTGTCAGGAACAAGCTGGCCACCTCAGCTGTCACAGTTCAAAGGTGCCATCACTTCTAAAGTCTTGTGCAGGGCCAGCGGTGAGTGCCACACAGTGGTCTCCACTCTTTTGACACCTGAGGTTACCCCAGGACAAGGCCCATCACGGAGGGCATTTCCTGCAGTCGGCTGTGAGGCAGCCTGGCCTAGCCTGCCCTGCTGCTCCAACAGGCCCTGGCTGAGAGGCCAGCCAAGGCCACCCCCAGGGCTCAGCCACCAGTGACCGGAGCAGCATAGGCCGGCCGGCATGGGAAGTCCACTCTGCCAACCCTCTGCCACAGGAGAGGACTTGGGCACGAAGGGCCACGGCCCATTCCTCACGGCCAGAGCACAGCATGAGGGGTAACGGAACAGGCAGCAGCAGACCATCTCCACAGCTCAGCTCATCAGGGCCTTGAGAACCAAACACCAAAGGCTTCAGCCCCCACACCCCAAATGCAACAGAAGAGTCTTACCTGCTGTCACTTTGTTTAGAGTCACTAAGGAACTGAGGACCTTGTTAAAGTTCTGCCCCTGATATAAGTCATTTGCATCAAACGTCTGAAAGGGAAAATTAAGCAAAATTAGTGCCAAGTCTCACACCATGTGTAAGACAGAGCCCCAGAGGCTGAGGGGCAGTGTGGATCCCTGGTCAGCACTGCGGGGCAGCAGGGTGTGCGGCGCAGGCTCCTCCAGAAGGCTCAGCCCAGCAGGGTCTTCCAGTCAAGTTCCACAGAGGCCACAGGGGCGGATGCGAATGCAGCCCACTCCACAGCCACCAGGAAATGCAGCCCAGAGGGAGGAAGTGGCCGGGAGGGGGCAGGGCAGGACCAGGCCTGGGCAGCCCCACCCAATGGGCCTATCCAGGGACCGGAGCTGACTGGAGCCGGCCCTGGCAGCAGGCAACTTCACGCCACCCACATGGAGCTGGAAGAAAGTGCAGGAGGGCACCAGACAACGCAGGCAGCGGGGTTGTGGGGCCCGTGGGTGTGTGCTTGCACGCTTGTGAAGAAACACACACAGCTCTTCCCAAATGCTGGCTAAAGATAACATGTCACTTGCAATAATCAAATAACCTCAAACAAAAATAAGTTTAGTAATCAAACCACCCACTACTCCGTCCTAGGAAAACTGAAAAAAATCTCAGAGGTTAAAAAAACCACAATGTAGGGCCAGGGATGTAGTTCAATGGCACAGCGCCTGCCTGGCAAGTATGAGGTCCTAAGTTCGATCCCCGACACCAAAAGAAAAAACAAAAAACACCATGTATTCAGATACCAAAATACCTATCACACTGTGGACTTTCTCTCCCTGGGGCAGAATGGGTCACGGAGGGAGGAGACACCTCTGTGCCGCCTTTGCCTGTGCCCACCACCCCACTGCACCCTCCTCAGCAGAGCCTGCCAGGAACTCCCCACTTCCTGCCTCCCGCCTGCTTCCTTCCTGGCAGAGTCTTACTCACCCTGCTTCCTGAAGGAGGTGGCTGGACAGTCACTCAGCCCCAGCAGTTCCCTAAGCAAATGTCGCCAGGCTAATTCCATGGTGGATGTCTGTGTGCCGTCCATCTCCCCTGAGAGCAGCAGGCATGTGCCAAACGTCCACTGGGGTGTCCCAGCCACACAGCCACCCAGCCAACCTCACCGTGAATCTCAGGTCAAGGAACTCTACAGAGTCAGGCATGATAACGCACACCTACAATCCCTGTACTCTGAGAGGCTGAGGCAGGAGGGTTCGAGGTTCAGGCCCCACATGGGCAATTTAGCTATTCATCGAGACTGTCTCAAGACAAAAATAAATAAATAAAAAGGCCTGGGGATGTAGCACAGTGTGAAGGCCCTGGATCCACACTTTATTACCAAAAAATAAAACAAAACCAAAAATTACCTCCAGCTAACTGTCTTCTGTGTACAATGTCTGAAATAATGAGATTAAAAACCAGTTCACACATGAAGAGAAGACTGAGAGGCCGGAAAACCACCTCAATCCAGAGGCCAATCGAGTCACTAGGACAGCAAGGCGCTGAAACACTGCTCATTGTCACTGTCCACAGTGTGCACGGTAAGGAACACAAAGACCCAGACACACCACACCCCACTTCGAGCCAGCAGCCCCGGAGCACCCATCCCCATCGGAGCAGAGCTGCACTAGCACCTCAGGGCCCGGTGCTCTACTCAGCCACGGCCCCCATGACGTAGGAGGAACCCGGCTCAGCAGGGCTGCCACCAGGCTCACCGACCACGGCATCTACATCATTGCGTGGCAAGTACAGGTCTTTAAAGAACTGCGGCTTTTTAAAGAATTGAAAGCATTAACGTTAAACTGGACTGGGGGTCCACGCCTGCAAGCCCAGCACTTGGGAGGTTGAGGCAGGAGAATCCAAGACTGAACCAGCCTGAGCAACCCAGGGACTTAGTGTGATCCTTGTCTCCAGACAAAAACATTAAAACGGGCTCACAGCAGGGCTCAACAGCCAGTATGGGGGGGCAGAAGCATTAACATCAGTAGGCCGCAGCTCCTCACACCTGAACTCTGAAGGCCCCTCAACTGCAATCTAACTCTACGGCCTGGGAGAGTCACGCTGCGCGTCTGCAGAGCAGCACACACACAAACGGCCACTGACCTTCATGGCGGCGGAGAGGCGGCGAAGTGGACGCAGACCCAGAACACAGGATGTGTAAATGGGGCGGCTTCCTGCTGTTCCAGGGCTCTGGAGCTCTTCTCCTGGAGACAGGAAGCGCCCTACCAGCTGTGCCCGCCCACCACCCTCGGGCGTGGTGTGACATCACAGCCCCGTCCCCAGGGGAAAGCAGGACAGAGGTGACACACAATCCAGCAGAGGCCCAGGCCCAACACTTCCCAAAGGTGGAAAAGAAGCCTTGGCAGAGTGAGCACGTGCCCTAGAGAGGAAGCACAGAGCCTCCACAGGACTGACAAAAGCACATATGCACAGATACCCCAGTGTGCACGTGGGAATCACACAGTGCAGGACACAGCGGCGTCTCAGGGCCTCCCTCCCAGCACTGTGTGCTCCAGGGCGGGAAGCGAAGGGAGAGGTCCTAAGAGCCTGCTCCACTGTCCCCAGCCTCTCTTCAGGGGCATCTGGGAGCTACACACGCAGATTCCTGGAAGGCCAGCAAAACATCAAGCCACCTCCCCACCATTCAGAGCAGAACCCCAGAGGGACACCTGAAAGTGGGGATCGTGCTCCTCTCCCAAGGATCCAACGTAAACCAAGGCAAGGCCATCAGAAGGCTTACACTGCCTCTCATGCCAAGGACAGGATAGCCACTGGCATGGAGAAGGACACATACAACAGCAGAGCCCACTGGGGTGCAAAGGTGCACTCTGAAAACTCACCCTTACTTTGCATTAAGTGAATTAAATGTGTCATGGAATGACCAGCTATTTCCAAAGTACAAGCATCTCTTTTTTTCCATCAAGATGCTCGTAATATTAAATTTACTACTTCTGACTTGCTTTTCGTATTTTACTTCCGATGTTTTACTTTCAGTGATGCAGAAGGAAATAAAACAAACACCAAGCACACAGAAACCAGGGAGGAAGAGAACCAGTCCTGAAAAGAACAGAAGCTCCTTCTGAAAAGCCTGGCATCTCTGGTCGGCTGGAACAGGCACAGGAGGGCAGGGTATATATAGGAGGAGGCATCCCAGAGACCGCACAGGCACTGCACCAAGCTCAGGCCCTCAGCCTCAAGACAGGGACATGGATCGGGAAGAGCCAGGCCAGCCTGCATCGAGAGCCTGCCAAGGCCTTGCACTCCAGACCAGGCTGCTCTTCACCCTGGACCCTGGATGAAGACAGCGCTGGGGGACAGTGACCCCTCTCACGGGGTCAGGCACAGCTTCCTGACACAGCATCGCTTCCCAAGGCCACCTTCAACGTCACCCTCAGGCCCCTGATGGAGACACAGCACATCTCAGAGGATGACAGAAGAAATGGGACACTACACGGAGCCAACAGATCACTTAGGACAAGATGTTGCAAGCTGGTGTCTTTGAAATACGACCGTTCCCCACAAGCATTATCACTGCCTGGTGAGCAGGCTTGCCCTCCCTCCCTGGACTCAAAACACAGCCATGGCTAACGGCTGGCAGCTGCCGTTACAGGAGTCTCTGGGAGGAGACACAAATGCCCATGAGCTAGTCTGGGACAGCCCGCTGGCCATCAGCAGCTGGGCACCTGCAAGGGGCAGACGGAGGGCCACTGGGTACCTGGGTGGTCCCCTGTTCTACAAACAGCCGACTCTAAGCCTGGGGACTCAAACACCACACGTGCTGGCTCACAGCTCTGGGCGGTCATCCTGGGCCACTGAAGACATGGACTCCAGGAAGCAAAGGTGCATGGGGGTGACACACAGCTGCTCTGCCTACCACCTCGCTGGCAACCTCACCTGCCACGCTGCCTGTGACCACCTCGCAGCCCTGACCACAGCACAGGCAGCAGGGTGCACACCTCAGTGCCCCATGGAGCACAGTGCCAGGCATGGCAGCAAGCGAGCCTCTGTCCTCATCCCTTCTATCCACCTCAGCACTGCTGGAGACCAAGGGGACAGGGACCAAGACTGTCCCGGTTCACCCAACACTCACACTCTGAGGGCCACCATTCGCTCAGCTCCCTGGCAAGTTTATGATAGAGCTATTTTTGACACAAGAAATTGTTATTTTGGCACAGTTCTGGAATGTGGCTTGCAAAGTTTAAAAATATAATTTTGTCCTATCACGTTGTCAAATAGAATTTGTGACTCTAGAAGAATGAGTGAAAATGAATCTTAAGTGGTGCTATTTAAGTTTAATGCAAATGGACTGTGTTGTAGAGGATGTGTGAAAAGCAGACACCCAGCCCTGCATTTTCAGCTCCGTGGCTTCTATAAATTTTGTAGAATCCCACCTACTCCTCCACAGGGATCAAATGAAGGTCAACCAGGGTTCTATCAACGACAGTACCTCACCCTCCATGCACCCAAACCGTTCATTTCAGATTGAATGAAGAATCGAGTCCCCTTCAGTTCTGCAGATCGCACCACAACAACCTGAACACCAAGCAGGGAACATCTGCTCTGAAAGAAACACCTCACGTGTCCACTGGCTTCCAGAAGGGGAGCCCAGGAGTGGGAAGAGAGGCGGATGCTGCAACCATCCCTCCTGCCACAGCCTTCAGAAGGAGCTCAGAGCAGGTGAGGGCAGGGACAGTAGTCAGCTGTGGAGGACCAGGGCTCCCAGGGCCAGGCCGGAGCACACACAGCCCGGAAGGACATCACAGACCACTGCTGGCTTTCACCTGGAGACTGTGATGCCAGCGACAGCACCAGGGTGGCAGAGCCCCACATGGGCCACACGGGTACGCCACAGCACCCACCTTCAAGGGTCAGAAGCACAGGCCACACAGCGCTGTCTGCAGGGGACAGAGAAGGACAGCAGCAGGAGCAAACGGTCAGCAAGAGTGGGACACCAACTCCTTAACATGAGTGAGCAGCCGAGAGCCCAATGGCAGACCGCTGCCACCACCCATGGCCCACGGTGCCAGGGTTAGGAACTGGCAAG